AACAAATTCACTGGAAGAAAGATAGTCTCTTTAATAACTGATGCTAGAAAAACTGGCTTTTCACATGCTGAAGACTAAAACTCGACCCATGTCTATCACCATGCACTAAACTAAAGTCAAAATAGATCAAAGATCTAAATATTAAAAATAAAAACACTAAATCTACTGTAAGAGAAAATAAGTAGGAATCTTGAAGACATAAGTATAGGCAGAGACCTCATGAAAAAAAACCCACACTGCAAGGGAAATATTACAAAGAATCAACAAATGGCATCTCACCTTATTAAAAAGCTTTTGGACAACAAAAATCACCAACTGAGTGAAAGGACAACCCCACAGAGTGGGAAAAAATTTTTTAGCCAGTTGTTCTTCAGACAAAGGACTTATATCTAGAATATATAAAGAATTGAAAAAAGTCAGGCTCCCCAAATTCAAAGACCCAGTCCAAAAATGGGCATCTGAGATGAATACACACTTCTCAGATGAAGAAATACAAGTGGCAAATAAACACATGAAAAAATGATCGACATTATTGGTCATTCAAGAGATGCAAATTAAAACAACACTGAGGTTCCATCTCACCCCAGAAAGAATGGCTATTATCAAGAAATCAACCAATGACAAATGCTGGTGAGAGTGTAGGGGAAAAAGCAACCCTTCCCCACTGTTGGTGGGAGTTTAGATTGGTGCAATCATTGTAGAAATCAGCGTGGAGATTCCTTAAACAACTAGAATTCGAGGTCCCATTCGACCTAGCTATTCCCTTCAGGGTATCTTCCCAAAATAATTAAAAACATCATACCACAGTGATATATGCACACCCATGTTTATAGCAGCACAATTTGTAACGGCTAAATCTTGAAAACAACCAAAATGTCTATCAACCAAGGAATGGATAAAAAAGATGTACTTTTTTAATATAACGGAGTACTACTCAGCCACAAAGAAGGATAAACTGCAGACTTTTATAGGTAAATGTATGCAACTATAGACCATATTCATAGGTGAAATAAATCAAACCCATGTGTGTGAACATCATATTGTCTCATTTGTGTGAGGAACTGAACAAGTAAATAAGATCCAAAATGTATAATAGATATTGTGAACTGGGAAGAAACTATTCAAAAGCAACGAGAAACTGTGATGGGGGATAGAGGATAGGAAGAAAGGGGAAAAGAAAAAATATATTTACAAACAAGATAGTTAAGATAGTTATACAGCTAATTTCTCTTAGTTCATTGAAAAGAAAGGTTTGTGATAATATTATTTGGACAGGATATCACACCTATATCTTATACTCTGATTAACTACAATGAAGACAAAAATATGCAATGTATTAATTATTGTAACTCTCCTACAAAGCTGTTTTAAAATTGTTATTTTTATTTTTTCTTTAAAATAAAATAAAATATGAAAGGAAATTTTTCAGGCTAACAGAAAATGACCCTATATAGTAATTAAAATCCACATGAAAATGCAAAGAACACCAAGAAAGGTAATTCTGTTATGAAGAAAGATAGCATAGGGGCTGGGGATTTAGCTCAGCGGCAAAAGCGCCTGCCTGGCAAGCGCAAGGTCGTGAGTTCGGTTCCCGGTACCGGAGAAAAACCAAAAAAAAAAAAAAAAAAAGAAAGCATAAACGTATATTTGTTCTCCTTTCTTCTCTACACTGAATTTTAAAAGCAATTATATAAAGTAATAAATATACATGCATTATTAGACATAGAACATAGAGAAATTTAATGTTTAACAATTATTACACGAATAAAGTAGGTGAAAGCTGTATTGGACCAAAGAAATGGTTCCAGAAGGTAATACAAATCCACAGGAACAAATGAAGACGGCCAGAAATGATAAAGAGGAGTCATATGTAAGTATATATTTGCTCTGCTTTTCTTTTAGTTTCTTTAAAAGCCATAAAACTGGAAAGTAATAACTTTAAACTGTACTGTTGGCTGTGGAAACACACATACACTGAAAATGAACAAATGGAAAAGATATTCCATGTAAACTATTTTTTCCAATGACAGTGGTATGAAATAAAATAAATGTGAAAGGGAATCTTAGAAAATTTACAAGTATGAGGAAATTAACATGCTCCTGTGCAACCATTTGATTACAAATGAAAATAGTAATATTATAAGTAACATTACAAAAATGCAAAGGATCAGAAGTGATTACTATGAATAACTATATTCCAACAAGTTGGATAACCTAAATTCCTAGAAATATACCAAGACTGAATTATGAAGAAATAAAAAATCTGCACATACCAACAATGAGTAAGGAGATTAAATCAGAAATCAAAAACTTCCCATCAAAAAAGCCCAAATTTTGATGGCTCCACTACCAAACATAATAGAATCAATGCCTACCCTTTTCAAACTCTTCAAAAAAATGGGAGAGAAAGAAGCACTTGCACGTTTATATACAAAGTCATGTCAGGATACCACCAAAACTAAGACCAGAGGCCAACATTCCAGATGAATGTAGATGCAAAGATTCTCAACAAAATATTAGCAAACAAAATTGAACAGCACACTCAAATAATCATACATCATGATCAAGGATGATGCATTTTGGGAAGGCAAGGATTTTTCAACATACATAAATCAGTATATTACACTATATTAATGGAATGAAGATTAAAAATCACATGATCATTTTAATTGATGTGGAAAAATCACTTGATTCAATTCAACATCTTTCATGATAAAAGCTCAACAAACTAGCCATAGGAGGCCATTCAGCATGATAAAGACCATGTATGATAAACCCACAGCTAATATGAACACAGTGTTTGCTCTCAGACCCATATTAAAATATGAAAGGAAGTTTTCCAGGCTAACAAAAAGTGATCCACAGTGGTTAAAAGCTGAAAGCTTTTTCTTTAAGATCCATTACCACAGAACAATGCCTACTTTCACTATTTTTTACTCAACATAATGTTGGAAGGCCCCGAACAACTAGACAAGAAGACAAAAAAAGTATCCAAACTGGAAAAGAAGTGAAACTGTCTCTGTTTACAGATAACATAATCTCATACAGAAACCTCTAAAGGCTCTGCCAAAAAAAATCTAGTTAAAATAAATTAATTTATTAAAGTTACAGGATACAAAACCAACTTACAAAAATCAGTAACAATCCTCTACATTAACAAGGAACTATCTGCAAGAGAAATCAATAATAATCCCACTTACAATAACTTAAAAAAATTGTTAGGAATAAATGTAACCAAAGAAATGATATTATGTGTACACTAAAAGCTATAAAATATCCATGGAAAGACTGAAGAAGATACAAATAACTGGAAAGATCCCATGTTCATGGATTGGAAGAATTCATGTTCTTAAAATGTCCACACTATCTTAAGTGATCAATAGATTTATTGTAGCCCTCATTAATATGCCAATGACAGTAGCCACAGAAATAGAAAAAAATATATAAAATTTTTATAGAACACAAAACAAACCCAAATAGCCAAAGCAATCTTGAGCAAAAAGAACAAAACTAAATTATCACACTCTATTTCATTATAAAGCTATAATAAAAATAGTATGGTATTGGCATAAAAAGTGACACATAAGCCAGTGTGAACACACTTTCCATATGCAAATGAACCATCCAGAGGCCACATTCCTGCTGCTTCCTTTATGGGGCATTTGTACTCCAAGATACTTTTCCCCTGCCCTACTTAACCAAAGTTGGGTCCCATATAACTAGAGACAGTCACTAACCATCCCTCAAAGAAAACCACTGAAAGTATTCAAACCAGGCAACACTAAACCTGCTCCTCTTGCCCCGCCTATTTCTCCTATGGAACCCTCAATAAAAGCCCTTGTGCACATTTCCTCCCATTCCTGCTTCCTGAGGGATAGTAAAGCTCCTTCATGTGCCCCTCCCACTGTGGAGTGGCATGTCCCTCCCCTCGGAAACAGTACAAATGATCTGTCCAATGGCAATCATCTGATCTGTTGGCCTCCCCACACCTGAACAGTTAATATAACCTATATTTTAAAACAGAAGACAATATGAGTGTGACATCGAAACTTAACAAAAAGATCATCACAGATCAGTAACTCTTATAACTATGAATGCAATAATCATCAACACTAGCAAATAGAATCTAACAATATATAAAAAGAACTAAATGCCAAATGGGATTTATTCCAAGAATGCAAGATTGGATTCTTGGAATAACATAAAATCACAGCATACAAAAAACAATTAATACAATGCACCATATCAATAGAACAAAACACAAAAATGACATAATCATACCAAAAGATATAGATAAAGCAGTTCATAATCTTTCATACCCTTTCATGATAACATCATTTAACAGAGAATACAAGAAAAATATTTCAACCTAAAAAAGGATATTTATTTTAAAATCCCAAGCAGTTGAGTACCCTACTAAATGGTGTAAAGATCTATTTTAAGATAACATTAATACATTTAAAAATACATACACCCTATGCCCCATAAATCCCACCTATGGCATCTATCACATGGAAATATACAGAGTGTCATCTGGATATGTAGCACTTCAGTTCTATTCTTTGGGAACAAAGTATATGAGAATGAACAGGGGAATAGCTGAATCAACCATAGGATTGTCACACTACAGAATACCACAGTATTGGTGCTCAACCAGTAGAGTGGACTACAGCAAAGTAATGATTTTGAAATGGGTTCAGGGAGATTTTTCTGCATGATAAATGCAAGCTGCATAAAATGTGAGCATACTATTCTATAAATGAGCGACAAATTCTACTATGTGTATGCATACAAATACGTATGTGTGTATGATTCTGGGTATGTGCAGATGGAGATGTATATGTATACACTAAGATATAAGTACACATGAGCTTCATTTTATGAGCTTACAGGAAAACATGAGGGAATCTCTATACTAGACACTCAATTTGATTAGTGGGGGGGTAGAGCAGGGGAAAGCTAAAGAAAGGGAAATAGCAAACAATAAAACAAATGCTTACCTATCAAGCTTGGGAAATTCAGTTTGCTCTTGTCAGTAGCAAGTCCTGAGTAGACTGTTTTCAACGAATTATCTGGGACACAATTTATTGTTGCAGCCAGACTAATGAGGAAATACGCCTTAACAAAACAAAATTTATTTAAGAGATGTTGTCGGCCAACAGTGACCAGAGTTAAAGGCAAGGTTTTCGTTATTAATTCTTCAAGTGCCTAAAAATAAAAAAGGATGAAAAGGGCAAATTAGTAAAATATTTTTTCAGATATGATTAAATCATTCCTTCTTTATTCTCCATTTGACGCTGGATGAAGGAGTACAGGGATAGACATGAGGTCCCATAAATGGCAGGTCTATGGAGAGAGACACTGAATATCACAACCGCCCAGCTCTTCGGCCATGCTTCCCCACCAATTGCTGAACCTGGTGCTGAGTGGAAAAAAGGATACCTTTTCAAAACAGAGACTCTGCAAAGGCCTATCAGCCACACCCAAAGGCAGCTCTGTCTAGCTGTGAGTAAGTTAAAGATGCAGGACAGGAGCAGGAAGAGCGGATGCACGTGCCATCTCCCTACCCAGCTCAACACCCACGGCTAACCAACCTCTCCTCGTGCACTCTCTCAACTCCTTAGTGCCTTGAATATCCACCACCCTGCCACGCAGCTGCAACTCTGAACTCCAAGTAAGTCTTCTTTTGGTTTATAATAAAGGGAGCTGGAGAAAAATCACACTGCTATGCAAGTAGTTCTCCTGTAAGTTCTGGACTAAATCTTAGCGCTGCCTACTATTCACCCTACACTTTGCCAGCTATTAACTCTCCCCTCCTAGACAGTGATTGTAAAGCCTCCTTTCTCTCCCCTCTCTCTCTCTCTCTCTCTCTCTCTCTCTCTCTCTCTCTCTCTCTCTCTCTCTCTCTCTCTCTCTCTGTCTCTCTCTCTCTCAATTCTAACCCCTTCCTCTCTCTCCCTCTCTCTCTCCCTCCCAGCTACAGCCTTTGTTTCCTCTACTTAATGAGAAACTGGAAGTGGCTGGCATGCGTAGACTCCACTGTGTCGTCTGCTTCATCTACCCGAGCATGCACCCTCACAGTTCTGCCTCCTTTCCTGCAGCTTAAGGGCCGGCACTGCCACGCAGGCCATCAGTCCTGTCCCCACAGGTCTCAGCCAGTTCTCCCAGTGGCACAAACGGTTCCCTCCCTACAGAGACACTCTGTCCACAGACAGCCATGTTGGTGCTAGTTCCATCTTAAAAAAAAAATTTCTGTACACCAACTTCCCTCCTCAGCTATTAACCCAAAACGCTGTTCCCCTTTACAGCAACACTCTAAAGAATTGTCAATGTTCTAATTTCTATCTTTTCATTTACTTTCCCCCCAGTGCTGGGGATTGAACCCAAGGCCTCCCTCATGAACCACTGTTTTATATGCAAATTAACTGTCACTTATCATCAATGATAAAATGCATGCTGACCTCAGAGACGTTAAATATGAAAAAAATCTTGTTTAAAATTCAGTAAATTGTGATACTTGGCTCATCGCATTTTATAGCATTCATCTTGCCTACTGGCTACTACTTTTCAGGGGTCTTTGCTGGGTCCTCCTCTTCCCCTGTACCTCGTAATGCCAGCATGCTCCATGACTCAGTCCTCCTCTCCTCATCCTCTTACCTTCCACAATATTAAGCAGGCTTGCACATAGGTTTTCATTTCTTTTAAAGACTGATGAAATCACACGTTTTTCTCCCTCGCTCCAACCTCTCTTCTGAACTAAGACTCAACTTCTGGCTGAGCTCCTCTACCTAGATGTCTAACAGATGGCTCAAACCCAACATGTTTGATGTCTAAAACTATACGCCTACTGTCCCCTACCCATCCACACATACAGAAACTCCATGAGGACAGGGAATTTGTCCATTTTGTTGACTGACTGACGTGTTTGACTGACAGCATCAGAACAGCACCTGACACATCGTGGACTCAACCGATTAAAGCAATCTCTTTAAAACAGAAGTACATCAGGCCACATTCTGCCCGAAGCTCTTCCGTGGTTTCCCATTTTCCTCAGATAAAAGCCTAAGTTACAATGGCGCTACCAATTTTACCTCTCTGAACCTTCTCAGTTTTCCTCTCTGGCTTTACTTCCCAGTGTTACACCATCTTTCAGAGTTCTAGACACACTGGTCAAGCCGTCCCTCACCAAACCAGCTAACTCTACTTCAGGGCCCCTTCACTTGCTGTTCATCTTTCTAGATGATTCTTCCCGCAGACGAATTGCATCTGACTTCACATACAAACTAACTTGACTACCCCATTTAAAATTACACTTTCCACCCTAGGCTAATGCTCTAAATCCCCTTTATACCATGCTGGGTTTATTTTCACCCGTATGGTTTTCTTTCTAACATACTGCATAATTTACTCCTTTAAATGTGCACTTACATATCATGTTTATTACCAGTGCTACCCATTAAAATACAAGCTCCATGAGGCCTTGAATTTTGTCTGCAGTGTTGATTCACTGCTGACTTTGGTTGCCATCAGTAAAACAGTGCCTTGTATACAACGAGACTTTAATATTTTAACTAATATTAAAAATAGTTGCCAGGGCTACACATTTTAGATAAGAGAGAAACCATTTGTCTTACATAAACAAAAAAATGCATTGCTTACAAGAGTTTAAAATAATGACGGCAGTGGGAAGATTTGTTGCTATTGTTGATGTTCTTTTTTTAACCCCTTCTAAGGGGCTGAGATCAGCATGTGCAGAAGAGCCAGGCATGTAGTGGCCACCCGGCCAGCCCTGCAGCTAAGCTGTTGGCCGAGGAAAACGGTCAACCTTCCCATGTAGGGGAGAAACTCCAATTGGTTGGGTGGGAAGGAAAGAGAACCTTTCTCTTCCTTCGGCAGCAAACAGTGATTTAATGAGCCTTAACAATTACACACAAACACTTGAGGATCAAAGGAAGATTAATTAGTAATGCTATTTAACACTCCTTTCTCTCCCTCTATGCAGAAAATACAAAGTGTAATCTGAAGAGTCTTAAGCAGGCCAGCATTACTGTTTTAATTAATTAGCTAATAGAAATCAGCTTTCCATTATACTGTCAGTCTCTTTTTGTATAAAGAGAAATCATCAGACAGACATTCTTTTTATACCAAAAACCCGCTCTTTAAGGAAGTGTTTTTAGGACGGCCTGGCACTTTGACTAGAAAGAAAGAAATATTCTTCAACTCCCCAAGGTCTTAGAACATTAAAATAAAATATGAATATGTATTTAAATCTTCCTAATACCAGCTCTTTCAGACAATTTGCTTATAAATTAAAATACATTTTGAGGCAAAAAACATTGAATGATATGAAGCATAATTAGAAGTGAACTTTATGAAATGAAAAGCAAGTAATGAAATGTAAATGAAAATAATAAGATTACATTTAATAAAAGGTGGGTATTTTGTTATCAAATTTATAGAAAACAAAAATAATGAAATTTTGATGAACTGTCTCTCAAGTTACCCAATAAAAATAAATACCTTGCTTAAAACAGAACGCTGTTTCCTATTACTTAAAAAACAAATACAGTTTGTGGACTCCTTCCCAATTTGCATAATTATTTTAAGAAATTTAAATGCTACTAGGACATCAAATTCTAAAATCCCAACCATTCAACTATTTTTTTTAATTTTATGGAAGAAATAAAACAAAATTTCATAACAAAATTAAAGGAGAATAACAATAGTTAATACATTGCTCATTGTTATCTTCAAAGTAGTTACTTGGAGTACAAGATATGGGCATACAAGGTTCTCCAAATGATATCAGAACAAATCCTTCTTTTCAATGTACTAAGAGAAACTAGTAAGACAACTACCCTGTAATTTTTTTTGGCTTTTCCTTTCCTTCCTTCCTTCCTTTCCCATTTCCTCCACCCTAGTTCCTCTTTCCTTTGGAACAATTTCTTCCCATTTCACAATACCTATTGTCAATTTTAGTCCCTATTTACTCTTTCAGTTATTGACAGGATCTAAACATATTTAGAGTAGCAGTCTCATACTCTTTTTATGAAAAATATTGGAGAAGTCAGAGAACCTGACTAGAAGCCCAAGTGAAAATGTCCCTAACCATTGGTAGATAATCTGGGAACTGGGAGATAAAGGGATATGAATAAAAGCATTATTGAACGTGTGGGCTATGGCAAAGTCTACCAAATCCTTTTCTTATAATCAAGAGCCAGCCATTACCTTCTAGGTAATAAGGATAAATATTAAAGATGAGCTCACTGATGAGGCTAGAGGAATGCACATCTGTAATTGAAAGGCAGGAGTAGTAACTGCTATTTGCCCATCCTGAAAACTACATCAATTTGGTCCAATGCAACTTTTGACCTCAAAATTTTGGACTAAAACAAAACTCCATCATTAGAAATAGAAACATATATTAGCAGCAGGCTTTCAAAACCAAAGATTATACCTCCCAAATAGATTGAAATGACTTTAAAATTATCCACAATAAACATCCAGTTTTTATAAAATACTGTTCCACTTACCTGCATATTTTCTCTACTGGTGAGAGGTTTTCCAGAGTCAAATGACAGAGATGTCTGTCAAAATACAAAATATTAGCAGTAGGAATGAGATGAAGTGTTCTTTTAAGTGAAGCTATTATGTGTTCTAAAATTAGTTTAAGTACCATTTTATTGTAAAAATAATATATCCTCTAGTCAGAAAAGATTAGTATGAAAAAGAAACTAAACATCATGCATAAGCCAACTTCTTTTAGGTGGTCAATGCTAATATCGTGATTTTTTTTATCAGAACACGTTTGCAGTACATAATATTCACGTGTCCTGTCTGGAATTGGAACATGTACATAACACATCTTAATTCCTTTTTTTATCCCCTTTCCTCTCCTTCCTCTAACTCCATGCATCTCTCAATCCTCTTCCCCTTTGAGAAAGATCTATCTCCCTACTTATTATCTATGTTTTACTTTGCCCTACAGATTCCTTTTTTGTATTTTTAAAATGTATACATAAACTTGTACTCCACTTTCACTAAACATGACCACGTTTTCTTCCTATACTATGAAATTATTTGTAAACCTGAGTCCATGGGTAGTTATATTTGATCATATGAATCCAGCATAATAACTACCCCTCCTTCCCACTGTTAGACATCTAAGAGGACAGCTTCCCAACATCACCCCAACTATCAGCCTCAGTATAAATCCATTGATGACCGTTCTGTTTGTATTTGTGACTATTCCCTTTGCACAGATTCCTGGACACAGTACTTCTGGGCCAAAAGATAAGAATATACAGTATTGAGAAAATACCCATACTGTGTGAAATGCCAGGATGGGCACACTCTTGACAGCATGGAGAACAAAACCTACCAGTGAGGGACAAGAGAAACGTTCTACTCACTCTCTGAAGGACCTGGATGCCCACGGCAGTGACCTCAGTAATACTCTTTGGATTCCTTTTTCTCCCTTCCATGTGTGACATCCCCACTGACTCAACATACTTTCTGAAATCACCTCCCACACTGACTACTTATCCCCAAATCCTTGTCTCGGGATCTGCTTTGGATGGATCCCCCAAACCAATTCATCAAACAGAGCTTTTTATCAAAATGAAATATTGGTGAGTATTTTTAAAAATTTTCTTTCTTGAGGATATTCTTTACTGCTTGTAATACACTGAAAATTTAGTAACTAAATCTGGGATGGGGTAGACCTTTCAGTTGTATAAACTGAAAGGGCTTGATAACAAGATTTTAGATTCTGTGGTAAGAATAGAATTACAAGAAGAATATAATGTTAAAATGTAGAATTTTTAAAGGGATACGACAAAAGGCCAATAGTAATCTGTAAAACTTTTTCAGTTACTTCCTTTACAAGTGAAACTTAATTCATTAATCCCTTCCTTAAATAACTGGCCTGCAGTCTAATAACATTGGCACCTATTTTAATTATAAACCTTGAAAGCATTTCCTCTTTTAATTACACTTTTTAAATTCCCAATTGAAGCTGGAAAGCTGCAAATTAACTTTGAGAGTACAAAATTCAAAGTCAGAATCCAGTGGGAGAGAGTTCACCCCCACATTCATCATATGAAAGCTGATAGATAAAAATGAAGTTCGGAATTTACAGGTAGAAAATTAGTCTCAGACGTTTTGGATGTTTGTTTTGGTAGAAGCAGTGGCCATCAAAAACGCTCTTGTTTTCCATTTTACCCAGCTGGTTTCTCTCCCCTCCTCATCTTCCTGGACTAGGAATGGGGATGACCTGAGAAGCCAGGTTTAGTCCCTGATTCCTTTCTCTGTCTTCCTTGGCTCCCAGCTAATTTCATCCAGCCGTATGCTTAAGCCTCTGCTAATGCTTCCAAAGTGAAACCTGCCACCTGCGCAGGGTCTGCTCCGGTCCGTATACTGCCCACGCCCATCTGTGCTACTTGTCCACCTGGCTGTGCACCACATATCTCACGTCCTGCGGGGAGCAGCGTCCCCCTTCCCGGTACCTGAAACCTCTTTCTCAGGCTGAACACTCTGCAGTCATCCTGACCTCTCTTACAGTCCACATCCAAACCATCTCCAGCATGCGGTACCAGCTCTCTCTTCACAGCAGACCCAGAACCGGCCACCGCTCCCTTCACGCCCTCCCTACTCACAAACACCCCAAGCCTTGTCGGATCTCAGCCAGATTAGCTGTCATGTCTGCACAGTTTGAATTGGTCTATTTTGAGCTTGCAGGCACTGCCACCCACAGTTTAATCCCCAAACAGCAAACAACGTGGTTGTTTTCTATTTTGTTCCCATCATGTCCTGTCTCTGCTCAAAACTCTACAAGATTTCCCTTCTGGTTCAGAGAAAGTTCCAATCCTCTGCAAGCCATCTGAGGTCTTTCATCATCTGACTCCTGAGTGCTAGCTCCTCCTCTCCTGCTCCCCTCTTTCCTGCAGGCTTCCTTAGTCTACACGGTTTTCCTCAACCTTGTCTTGCAAGCTTTTTTCTTCATAGTTCCTCCTGCTTGGAAGGCTGCTCCCCCAGATCTTTGGCTTCCTTTCTCTCAACACTGGCTTATTTTATTCACCAGCCTGAATAAACAGTAACCCACTGCCCTGCTCACTCTTATTCTTGACTGCGCTGGACTGTCCCTCACAACACATGTCTACCCGAAACCCACTTGCGTCCTGTGTGTCTATGACTTAGCCCTCTCACTGCAGTATAAGCCCCAGGAATGCAATAGCTCCGTTTGCCTTTTTATTACTTGATCCTCATTCCTGGAATCATGCCTGTATTCTGCAAGCACTCAGTAAGTATTATAAATAAATTAAAGAAGAATGTTAATAGAAAATGGCTACTGACAGGCACAAACAAGAAAATGCCAGTTAATTTAACACCAGGTAAGAAGACAAATTAGTTTACACCACACAAAATGAGTGAAATAATCAACTGGCTTCTCTCTAGATTGGTAGGTGGGTAGACAGATACATACACTTACATAGCCACATATATACTGTATGTAATACATAGATGTGTTTGCTATATATAGATGTATATATCTCTATGTATATATGTGTGTGTGTATATATACATATATATATACACATACCCACTATGCATGTGTGTGTGTGTATATATATATATATATATACACACACACGTGCGCACAAGGATTGTTATTGATCACTGAGTGTCCTTCTTAAGGTATTCTGTAGATAACTTTACACTTAACCTGTGATAATAACTTTTGGGTTTTTAATTTTTTTTGCAGTCTGGAGATTGAACCCATTCCGTACCTTGGCATACTAGGCAAGTGCTGTATCTCTGCACAATACCCTTAGCCCCTATTGTAGTAAAGGTAATGCTGCCGCAGTCATGTGTAGTAGCGATAAGCAGGTATTTGAGAGGACTGCAATGAAGTAATGAATGCAATCAGTAAATATAATACAAACTTACACAAATGATTTATTTCCAGGACTTCCAGCTCATTTCCCAAGTTCTTTTAAGTCCTCCTGTTTGAATCCAGCAGCACGTTTTGTATCTGTCACGCTCACTCCTCACACGTGCCGTCTCCCCTGCTGCTGTGATTTCTCCCTCCCCCTAGTGCCTTTCTTCCCAGCCCCTGTGACTCCAAGCATCTGCCTGAGGACAGATCAGCCGGTGTGCTTCCCAGATCTCCATGAAAACCAAAGCACAGGAAAACAGTAACTCATCCTGATTTAATTCACGCTTTCACTAAAGCTCCAGTATTTATTTCCAAAGGTGCTTCAATTACCCAGGTAACAAGCAGAAATTAAGCGAGTTAGGTAAAACCATCTCCTAAGTTCAAAATACACTAGGCAAAGAGTGTTCTTTCTGCACAAAATCAGAAGATATCTGAACAGCACATTAGTAACTGCTACTTTACACACTGTTAGTGTAAAATATATAAACCAGAAAAAGATCCAAATAAGAAGTAAGGAGAGATGGCTTGAACTAAGACCATTAACTAGAAGTTATAACATTAGGCCCCAAAAGCTAAGAAGTGGTGGTTGATAAACTGGCTGAGGAGACTGTCCATCGTAACTATGATGCAACCTGCAGCACCCCGAGCCAGAATTCCACTGCAAAGCTTTAGAACCACATGTCCTCCCTCAGACACCCTCCATTCCACACCAGTGAAATCCCATGAAAGCCTGATCTTAGCGGTGACCAGGCTTACCAAAGAGGTGGGAAGCACTGGCGACATCTCAGTATCCTTTTGTGGAAATGTGCCCTATGTTTTAGGAACTGCAGCCCCCTCAAAGGTAAAGACATAGCTTTGAATCAAATTGGTCGGTTACCTTAGGTTTTTGAGGAACTTTACAGCAGGAAGGTATTGACAAAGGCATATTTCTTCCACAGAAAATCTGGGATAGCTCAGAATAGGCTTCGGAAAAAAAGCTTAAATCGATCAGAACTTCTATCTGTAAAGGAAGGAAGAGATTTTAAATTATAAAAATAATTAGAGAAAAATCATAAACTTCTAAGATCCAAAATTTCTGTAGGGCAATTATAATGTGCTATGAATTAATGCTTACTAATTAATGAATGGATGCAGTTGCACGCGTTAGTGTGTATGCTAGTTCCCATGTGCCGTGGACTAACAGCTAATAGGCTTACTTCACCAAAGGAAAATACATAAAGAGATTATAAACATGGCAACATTTTTAAAAATTACTGAATTTATCTCTTTATTCCCACGGTAAACTGTGGTTTAAAACCAAAATAACAGTAACATTCCTCAAGTTCTTGAAATCTCTGAGAAACTCAAAGAAACCATTATATTAACTTCACAATGTACAGGCATAAAAAAATACTACCAGTTTTCCCATCCATAATGAATAAAGACATATACTTTCAATTTTAAAGATATACACTATATATGTACTTATCAACATTAATGCACAACTGCACATTTTACATGGCCTACCTTGAATACAATCCAGAAGGAACATCAACCAGGAAATGACCGAAAAAATGTTCACTCATGTTCATTCATTCATCGCACATGTTTACTGAGCACCTCTTGGCACTAAAGCCTTCTTGAAGGTTGCATTCCATTACTATGTGTATTTAGCTAAATGTAAGTAAAGCATGAAGATATACACAGAATGAGATAGCAAAGGGCACTGAGTGCTTTGAGGAAAAGCTACTTTGAAGACTGGGAACTAGAAGTACTTCTGTGAGGAGAGCTCTTCAAGAGAAGAGCTGGGGATGATGTCAGAGAGAGAGACATGTGAATATTTGCTGAGCATCACACACACACACAGTGTGGAGGTCATATGACAGAACAGCTTTGGTGTCCTGGAATGTTCCAGAAACAGCCCACGTGGTTGGAGCTCAGGTTTCCAGAGGAGGAGAGTTAGGAAGTGCATGCAAATGGGAGTCAGGAAAGGTCACATAGAGCCTCTAGACTACAGTAGGGAATCTGCATTTTATTTTCTACATGGTATGAAGTAACTGGAGGGTTTTCAAGAGGACTCTGACATAACTTATGTCTTGAAAACATCTAGTGATTTTATTAAAGAGAACAAGGCAGGAAGACATAAATATTGACACAGGGAATCAAACACAAAATTGGGTGAAATAGATACAGATGATATAGATGATAGATATAGATACAGATGTGGATATATAGATGTAGATATAACATTTCAAAAGAAAAATCAATATATCCTCAGCATTTCAATCCATCTTGCTCTCTGTTTTCCTTTCAGTACTTGCATAGAAATCTCAGAGTGTACAAAATAAAATAAAAAGAAGATAAGTTGGAGAAAATTGGCTACAAAAATAACATGGTAATAACATAAATGGTCAGAAGAATATTTTTAATGGGAAAGAGAAAATTGCTTGTCTATCCAGTTACACAGTGAGCTTCTTGCCTAAGACACCTTGGTCTCTAACCTCCCCACAGCCATGTAGTACGAAAGCACTTGGGAGACACAGCAACTCTTTCAGGTTTCTAGATGACCTCTTTTCTCACAGTCCCTGCACGAAAACACTTCCCCGGATCTATATGTAGTTAGACCTCTCCGGTCTTGACTCGAAGACTGCTGTACACAGATCACAAATAACTGTCAAGGCTATGTCTGATTTTAGTGTATCATGCCAATCAAACCATTTAGAAAAGCAATGATGGTGATAATGGACACAGTATTTTTGGAAGTGACCGACACCTCGAACACAAGCAAGTCACATGGCAAAAAGAGCTAGCTGTAAATCAACTCTTCCTTCACACAAACACAGAAGCATCAGTGCCCTTCCTAGGAACATTTGCTATGTTGAGAATGGTAACTCTTTGAAGAGGTTGGCAGTTGATCATAAAGAGGACTTAACAGCGTTCCATGAGAGACACTAGTGCACCATAGAAACTTAACAGCATGATCTACTGCTGTTCAATTTGTCAGAAACCATCACTGTTCATGTTCTCTGCCTCTGACTTCTCTCTTTTCCCACTCACTGACCCCAGTTTACTTCAGAAAGGTCGGGCAAACTCTGCTCATGGGGGCTGTCATTTCTTTCTCTTTATGATCTGTCAGCTGCCCTTTAGACTGCAACTGTCGGTTTTTCAGTACTACTACACCAGTAAGATCTCACCTCTGCCTCACTCTGCTCCAAGCACTGTCACCAGACACCAGATCTGGTCATCTCATTCTCCTCATCAAAATTCCATAATTGACTCCCCTCCCACCCAAGGCTTCGAATAGAGGCCACAGCTTTTCACTGGGTTTTAAACCATATGAGGACACAAATGTCAAATGCTAACAAGCTGCTGTGCCCTGAAAGTATCCCCCAAACGTTCAGGGGTTAAAAACCCCTAAGTTCATAGGTCGATGGCTTTGGGAGGTGGGGCCTGTGGGAGGTAATCAAGATCAGACGTGGTCGTGTGGGTGGGACTGAGATTAGTGGCTTCAGAAGGGGAGGAAGACAGACTTGAATCTGCACATCCGGGTCTCTCACCACGGGATGCCCTCTGTTGTGTGACGACGCAGCACAAAGACCCTCACCGATGCAGCCCTTGAGTCTAGGACCCCCAGCCTCAGGCACTGGGAAAAATAAATTTATTTTCTTCATACATTACCCAATCGTGGGTACTCTGGTGAAATAACCTAAAACAGACTGATACAAGCCAATGCAGTCACCTAAGTGAAAGTTGTGTTCCAAACTGTCCCTCCGTGCCCCTCTGGCTCTTCTCCCTGTATGTTGTTAATGTCACAGCAATTTCTCCACGCCTCTTAGTGACAGACCAGCAGAAACCTCTCAGCCAACTCTGGTCTACAATCTCCTCCGACCCCTCACCGTGCAACCTCCACATTCTGTTTCTTCACCGTTTGGAATGCAAGCTGGGTCCCCGGGCTTGTGGCCCTTGGGTATTCCTCATGTTATCTTCAACCTGCCTGCCCAGGACCTCTGTCCGATGTAAGGGAACCATCACCAGCCCTGTGCAGTGCTTTCTCCCTCTGTGTCTTTTACACCGCTGTTCACCAGCAATCCTCCCTTCCCCCTCGCCCCAACCTGGTAACTTGCACTCTTTTCAAGCCTGTGCTCTTAGCTAGTGAGTGAAACCTAAAGACCCGCAACTACTGTCCCTCTTCCACACTCCCGGAGACAGTGCTCATCACACATGTGCAAATGAGCAAGTGACAGGTCCACACACTGCTGTTTTGGTACATGTCCAGTTTCTCTTCCCACTTGGCATCTCCTTATAAAGAGATGGCTTACACGGTTTGCATGACCATGGTTTACATGTCTGAAATTCGAAGTACTAGTATGGTGCTTTGAAATAGAAATTCCATAGTAAATGTTCTTTTAGAGTTAAATCAGTAAATATTTATCAACTATTATATGGGTGAGTTCCACTCAACACTGAAGAGGATGTGGACAGCAGGCACCTAATAAATGCCTGCAACTTTTTCATTCAATACAACCATTAACCCCTGAATATTAAGAATGTAAACTTAGTACTCAAGACAGTAGAGAGAATTAAAGGATGAGTAAGACACAGGCCCTAGGTCAAGATCTGTGTATCTCAGAGAGTACTGTAGGGAGAGTGGGAAAGGAAAAGGGTTACACACAGTTTTAAATGCTGACATTCAAAAAGGAGACAATTCTTAAGAGTCAGCAACTCAGAGAGGGTGAACCAGAAATTTTCATGGTCAGTAATGAATTATTTATTAAGTCCTCTTAAGAATTTTTTTATTTAGAAATAAAATTCAATGGATTATTTATGTAAGCCTGAAGGGCTTGGATGGAGACAGTAGTTCAGAGGGAATTCTAGTTCCGCCCCCCAGGAGAGACTTAGGGGGCAGATAGATGGTATGTCCAAAGGAGAGAAAGAGGTGTGCTGGAGTGGCGTGCCAAAGCCCATTTTCTCCCACTGCAAGAGCCCGTCAGGCACCTCTGTCTCCTATGCGTCTCCAGTGACATCTGTGAGTAGCTTGAAGTCAGCCACAGTTGGAAGATTTACAACCTGGTGAAAATTTCAAAGCCCTAAATTAGCTTTTTTTCAAAAAAGGGCCCACTGTGAAACATTTACCAATATGCAGATTACACCATGGGATCAGAGGTAAAACTGTGCTATGAGAACCAAGAAAAACTTTAAGCTCAAGAATGCTCAATATTTTATTTTAAACGATTTGTCTCACCTCAACTTAAATTTCCCTGTTATCTCAATGTTTAGTAAAGGACACTATAGAAATGAAGGCCTTGGGCGAATATACTGTGTGCATTTATGTAGGAGTAAAATAGGGAATTCCATGCCAGACTTAAGGAGATGCAGAAGAGGGAGAGATTTTGCTGGATGCTGAGACAATCCATGAACAAAACAAGATCAACAGAAGCAGAGACTTGTAACAAAAGTGACCAGGAACGCAGGCAGTGAGAATGAGATGCTTGAGGCTCCCCTCCAAGTGGGGTTCAGGTCAACAGCATGCGACTCTCATGCCAGAGAACCCTAAGTGATGACTGGATTACAGAATTAATTGTCTGGTCTTATTAACTCAATTGTCTATCCACTGAAAATCTGTTGCACATCATGATATGTGAGGCATACTCTGAAAACATGGTGGAAGTTTGAATTTAAAAAATGCATTACAATAAAAGACACTGCAATTAGTCCCCCGCAAAATATTTCCCCTCTTTTTGAACACATTTATCTCATCATTCTTGCCATTTACTGAAACAGTTCTGGAAGTTCTTTTACGTGAGTGTTAGTTGTGCTGTCAAGGCTGCCTCCATGTCCTCAGTTAACCCAAAATGTTTACCTTTCATGGTCATTTTACTTTGAGGAAGAACCAGATGATGCATGATACCAGCTCTGGTGAGTAAGGTGGATGAGGGCATACCATAATGTTTTTATGAGCCAAGAACCTTTCCACTGGATGGCACCTGGCAGCAGCATTCACCAAATTTTGCATCACACCTCCTAAAGACCCTCATGAAAGAGGACTTCCAGAACTGCTTCAGAAAGTGGCAAGAATGATGGGATAAGTATATTTAAAGGGACGGGGAGTATTTTGAAGGAATTAATGTCAGTGTGTCTTTTACTACAATAATTTTTAATAATTTAAAATTCACTGTAGTTTTTCATGACCCCTTGTACATAAAGATCATTAAGAATAACTTCACAGAAACCAGAACACAGGCTCATTTGGTCTCCATGAGGAAGCCAGTCTCTCAGAACAGCGACTTCCAGCTTCCAGTTGTTGGGTGAGCCTCATTTGCAGGAATAGTTCTTACTCACTTTCCAGGGGCCTGGATGTAACCTTTCCAATAATGGGTAAGGCATCTTTATATCAATATAACACTGTACTGTTATCACTTATTATTCTGAGGATTAGAATCCAATTAACATATAACAATATCCTTCACAGTTAATATCAAGTGTCTTTAAAAGTTTATAACATACCTTTAGGAGTCTTGCTTCTAGGTTTCTGACTAGATCTTGGCAAATTCCAGAAACAAAATATTGATACAATGCAAGGAGAGGCAGAACCTACCGGGAGAAAAGCATTCTTTTTATAAAAAAATACATTTTATCAAGTTAATAATCTGCCAATCAAACTTAGCTAAATATTAAATGCAGGACATGTTATGCAAAGTGCCAAGTGAGTCCATGTTGGCAGACTAAACTGGTATAAGTGAAATGATCTGCCTGGCATATGCTGTATGACTTTATCAGATTAAGATGTTATCAGAGACTTATGATGTCAACTAGATGCCATTTACTAAAACCAGACCTAGGTTTGACATTCCTTTATGCATGGAAAAGTTAAAATCCAATTAATTATTTCCTTGAAAAAAAATTAACCTAAATGTATGAGGCCTGTGGAAAAAATGCTAGCAGATGAGCTATCAAATAAATGCAAAGTCTGAAACAAAAGAACTCACATCCATGTCCCCTAGCAAGCTCTTACTGACTCATCTTAATGTCAGCTGCTTTTTAATTAGAATTTTTCTTTTGGCAAAAACCTATTTACAACATGCCTCTGATGTGTTATGCACTGTTAAGTAAGAACAGAAAATATAACAAGTCCCAGCCATTATATAGCCTATATCCTACTGATTAAAACTCAACCTTATTCTTCAAATAATCTTTTCATTTTCCTAGAATTAAACCCAAAGCTCCATTTGTCATGAGGCCTTGCGGCAATAATAACAAAGGCTTATAGACTATCAAGTGTTTCGGCTGACCTAGCCACTGTCTATTCAGAGCAAGGAAAGTTCTGCCTTTATATTTTCATTATAAAGACAGAGTTGAATTTAGAAAAACAAATGTGCCAGGGGAATAGAAAACAATATATGAAAAAAGAAGAAGCCCCTATCACAACTCAAACCTGAAGCTCCATTCCTGCAGCTGCATTCTACTGAAGGAGATGGAGCCAGAGGCTTGAGATCCTCACTGTTTAGCCAACTATTTCCCATGGCTCTAGGGCCCAGAGAAAATTTTAAGTTTGACAAAAGCCTCTTAGCCACTGGGCTTCTCCTAGGTTAATGTAACACAAAGAGGAAACTTCACTTCTGGCAAGGTAGCTCCGGTGGTTCGTAGGTCAACAGGCAGCTGGTAACAGCAGCAACTTTTTAAAAGGATTTGAATAATCTTAAATGACTTCCAATGTAATATGTTTCTCTACAATTATGCACTATAAACATAAACACAAAACCTTTCTTCTACAATTAATTCAGCATAGAACATTAAGAGTTCATGATTACCTTTGAGATTTATTTCTTTTCTTTAGTGAGAGATAAAAACATATCATTTTATTGCTGCCAACTGCCCAATTATCAGAAAAAAATTCTCAATTTCTTAAGCTTTAGAGAGGGAGAGAAGTCTCATTTCTTTTCCAACGCAGTGATATATATTATATATGAAATGAGGAGGCAGCTAGAGGTTACCTAGGGGACACAGCCATTTTCCCAATCCAGAAATGAATCCCTTTAACAGGCAAAGAAGCACCATTTTATTATTTTTTAATAAACAATTTCTTATCAAATCTTCCCAAAGTTAAAAGCATTTATCAACCTTTTCACTTTAATACATGATTTTATAATTTCACAACACATCTTGGGGCAGTAAATATTTCTAATATAGAGAATTGGATTTAAAGAAAAAAAATAAGCCAGAAAACATATATGAAAACAATTTAGAAAACAATGTGGAAAAAAAATTGTAATTATGAAAGTTATGAAGGAAAAGTAAAGGAGCAGAAAAAATGAGAGAATAATATCAAGAAGCAAACGGGGAAAGATTAAAAACTAGAGGCTAAGGGAAGGAAATCAATAAAATAAGATAAATGAGAAAAATATAAAATGACCAATAGAGCATACTAATTTATTTTTAAAATGCAACCAAATTCAAATTTATGAGATATGCTGTCCTTCCTTCCTGTAAGGAAAGGAGAACTGTGTATTTGGGCTTATGGATTTCCTACGACATTAAAATACATTTGCCTTTTCTCTCACAGAACCAGAAGCATCTCAATATGGGAATATTCTCATAGTTTAGGTTCTGAATGAGAACTGAACAACTTAGTGCTATGAATTGCAAGCGCTCTAGTTTCCTACGTTTGACGTCAACGCCACATTCTTGTCAGTTTCACCAAATGTCTTAGGAAAATGAAAAATGAAATAAGACTTCAGAACAAAATCAATTAGATGCTGCCTTTGTACCCAAAGTGAAATGCGAACAGTGATGTCAGAGCAAGATTATTAATGCATGTGTTTTATTTTGCACTACAGGTAAGAATATAGAGATTTTAAAACTTTAAGCCAAAACTGACCAAAACAACATTAACAAAACTTAAAAAGTATCAGGTAAGTGGGGAAAATACCGCAGTGAATTCAGAGCTGTTGGTTTTACAAATCACTTACTATTAGATTGTGCTTAACAAAGTGCAGCTCGCGGATAATGTAATATAGGCTGGCAACTACAGAGCAGATGTCTGCCCTGTGGCTATCGGAGAAAAGCTCAATGCCTGGGAGGAGCTGTGTGACTTCGCACTGAGCATAGCAATGCTGAGATTTGGGGTGTGGAAGCGTAGTTCGAAGTAAACCCTGAAAATGAAACAGTGAAATAAACAAGCATTCAATGATGAAACTATATATATATAAATATATATATCACTTCCTAAATTGCTGAGTATGTGACTAGCATATTGTAATCCATAATAAACAACACTTACTATCAGGTGGTGGGGCAATTATCATCATAGGTTCCAAATGCACATCACTTAGGATGGGCTTTTTAAATTCCATAGTAGTGACACGCTTACTATTTTCAAAGGAATTATTACATTACTGTGTTGCACATTCCTGCTAGAGTCTCTCTCCCTCACTCTTTCTACTTCCTTCCTTCCTTCCTTTCTTTCTTTCTTCCATTCTTCCTTCCCTCCCTCCCTCCCTTCATGCCTTCCCTTCCTCCTTTCCTTCCTTCCTGCGATTTTTTGAGACAGGGTCTCACTATGTAGCTCAGGCTGGCCTCAAACTCAAGGCAAGCCTCCTTCCTCAGCCTCGCAAGGGCTGGGGTTACAGTATGCACCACTGCACCTGGCTAAGATTCTTTCTAAACATTCCCTCACGTACTGAATGCTCACCCAGCCCATCTTTGGAAGGAAGGATTATTATCTCACAAATGATGTAGCTGAGGCTTAAACAACGAACTTCTCTGTGCCAACACAGTTAAGAGTGGCAGAGAGAAGAGATTCAGATCACATCTACTTAACTCAGAAACCTGTTATTTCACTATGCCAGGGTGTAAGCAGGGAAAATGATAACTTGAAGCCTAAATTAGACAGAGATAATTCCAAATTTTTAACTGCCTCAAGTGGAAGGATGATCTATTTGGTTTGACCTACGTTTACGGCATAGTTTTTATGACCAACTGGGTGATAGAGAAACAAGATGAATACATTTGGAAGTGTTTATTTTGTTCTCTTAAATAGTGACCATTTCTTGATGACAAATGCATTGTTAAATAATTTTAATGTGTATGTCGGGAAAGAATTTCAATCAAATTGCTTGTTAAGGATTATAAGGTATCCTATTCTATTTTTTTTTTTTTTTTTTTTTGACACAGTCTCGCTATGCAGTTCAGGCTGGTCTTGAGCTCACTTTGTTGCCCAGGCTGACCTCGAATTCGTGATGATCCTCCTGCCTCAGCCTCCCGAGTGCTGGGATTACAGGCGTGCACCACCACGCTGGGCAAGGTATCCTACTCTAAAATACTATGAGCTTAGTGAAAATTTTAATTTCACAGATTTGCTTCTTAAAAACCATAAAAACAATTAACAGGAAACACCACTACCTAATTTTAATTTTAGGTGCAGCATTACTAATGTAGCATTACCTAAAGTCCACATTAAACAGAAGTTCAACTTTTTTTAAACAAAATCATATCTCTTCTAAACTCTAAACAGCATTTTCTTCAAGAGCGAGAAGTTTCCAAAAGTAGAGGAAGCACTGAAGAAGCGAGAGGCACTCTGCATTCCCTCTGCACTCTCGCCGCTTTTCCTCTTCCCTTTGAAGCTCGAGAAGAGATATTTGGAATATAAGAAAATTGCCAGGTCTGGCCTTACATTCAGAGAAGGCTTCACAAAGAATTCATCTACCCAGATTTCAGAAGCCATCAGCGTCCTCTGATACACAGAGCAAGGATATCTGCCCATCAGTCAAAGTAAACAGAACCTTTAGCAGGCTGCAAAGGCCGCTGGCTACATCCCTGAATCTCAGAACGCCTTACACTTCAGATAAAAGCTCCTTTCTTCTACAGAGAAGTCAAATCAAATCCTGAGAAACACAAACACTCTTCTGTAGTCTTCGACTTATTTCGTGCCTTCATTATATATGTTACATCATGTAGCCGAGCAAGACTTTATTTAGAGCTGGGTAACAACCTAAGGCAACCATCTGGAGTCAGGCAGACTGGCTTCACCCCGGTCTTCTTAAGGACAGACGACTCAGCTTCCCTATCTGTGAAAGTCCCTCTGTTAAGGAAGAAAGCTGACTCTCGGGTGGTAAAGGGGAAGGTGCCACCAGGCGAAGTCAGGTGGGCCTGTGACATTTAATCAGAGTTCACACTATTTTCCTGCCTGTGAGTTTTACGCATATGACAAACTGCTGTGCACTGCCGAATGGTTGTGTTATTACAGAAAATCACACACACAAAGCATTACCTGGAAAAGCAACGCAGACAAAATGCAACAGTTGATTCTCTTTTGAACGCTCACTGTTTTAATAAACCTAAGTATAAGAAAAACAGATTAGTAGACAATTTTCCAAAGTATTTTTATATAAATATGTGTCTTTAGACATACATAAGACACAGAAAACATTGCAAAATATGTAGAGAAGAAAATATAAAGAAAATCAAAAATCACCTAAAATCCTACCACTTAAATATGATTTCTGATAACATTTTGGTCCATTTCTGCCTAGATTTTTTTTCTCTATGTAGTTATACACAGAGAAACAGAAACTAAAGTCATACAAAATTATACAATATCAAGACTAAACACAGAAAGTGAGATAGTGTGTGGTTTCTTCTATATGAGAAACCTAAAATATAAATGAATACAATAAAGGCGAGATGATAGGAAACCAGAAGATTTTAGGAGGTCAAGGGAAGAGGATACGTGATTGTGATATGTGGTAAATGCTTCACCAACTGCCAAAACTCAGAGTCACTGTTGTGTACTGAGGATAGACAAAAGGAGGAGGAGGAAGAGGAGGAACAGGCTCCGACACACCCAATATTATGAATGATCCTAAAGGCTTTGGCTGCATGAAGGAAGCCAGACACGTGAAAGTACATATGGCACGATTCCATCCATAAGGAACACCAGTAAAACTATGGTGTTAGAAATCAGAATGTAGCCGGGCATGGTGGTGCACACCTGTAATCCCAGCACTCGGGAGGCTGAGGCAGGAGGACCACTGCGAGTTCAAAGCCAGCCTGGGCTACAGAGTGAGCTCAAGACCAGCCTGAACTGCATAGCGAGATCTTGTCTCAAAAAGAAATCAGAATGTAGCTGTCTCTGGGTGCAGAGGGGAGGGTGGCTGAAAAGGGACAGGAGGAATTTCCTGAGCTCACAGAAATATTCCAGGTCCTGACAGCCATGGTGGTCGCACAGATGCATAAAATTACTGAAAGTCAGACTGTACAATAAAAAATGAGTATATTTTACTGTGTGAAAATTATACCTCAGTGAAAAATAATGTTTGGCTCAAGGACTAAAATTATATAATATGCACTGTTTTTAAAAGCAAATTTTCCACTTACAGACATAATACAATATTTTGAAGTGCTTTAGTATTTTGTTATATGGATATATCATAATATAAAAAATTAACCTTTATTTTTATGTTTTCCAATGCTGAAGCAAACATTACTAAACTGCATTTTTTTAGCTCTTATACTATTAATTCTACTGGAACAGAAGTGAAACTTTGGTAAAAGGAGGTTGTCAATAATTCTCTCTAAAGACTGCAGCAACGTACTTTCTCATCAGCCATATATTATGGAGTTGCTCAGAACATTAAATCTTGCCAACAAAGTTTAAAATAGTGTCTCTCCATTTACTATCCATTGTCTCCTTTTATTTCCGTTTCAAGAGTTTGAGTTTTTTTTATATGGGTCTTGAAGCTTGCATTTGCAGTATGAATCACATTACCTTCGAAATTTCACTTAGATAAAACCACTGAGCTTCACAACATTAATAACACTGTCCGCTGGCGCTCAGCTCCTCTGTGTGCATTTTTCAGTGCGGTCTTTTGTAGTGAGAAGTTTCCTCAACTCCAAGAGTATCCTGAACAGCTCAAGCCCTACAGACCCGCAGCTCCTATGGAAGCCAGACTTCCGGCTGGGGAACCAGGAAATGGTTTTCTTTTGGCTGAAATCACAAGGTAATAACTTCCAAGGCTTGGAGCTGAGGTGCCCTCTGGTAAGAATGCTGTGTCTGTTCCTTTCCAAGTTGTGAATCTTCCTCCTTCAACTCCCAGTCCCAACTGCCAAGCTTTACTAAGTCCTACACGCGTGGATGTCTAAGATCAATCTTTCACATTGAACACTTTTTCATAGTGGAAATTTCTTATTTTTCCTGCCCAAAACACAGTAATTTTATGAAAAATATGAAAAACTAAGTAGAAGTTGTTGCTTAATTGCTCCTCAGCTCAAAGTCCAAGGGCTGATCAAAATAGATAGTGTGTGCTGAAATAAAAAAACTTAGTACAGTAAGAGATGGTGTACGTTTTTATGAGGCGTGATTGGAGAATGCTGCTGCCCAGTACCATCCGATGGAAAAGGAAGCTCGTAAAAACACTGCAGTGTGTCCTATCCACCTTCCTCTCTGCATCTGGCACTGTGTGACTTCTGGCTCTTCCCCAAAGTCAGAATGACTGAGAGAGGGAAGCAGACGGAACTGATTCAGGACATCAAGGCAGCCACGACAGCACAGTAGCAGACACTCAGGAAAGAGGACTTCCAGAACTGCTTCAGCAAGTGGCAAGAATGATGGGATGAGCGTGGTAGAAGCGGACAGAGGGTCGTATTTTGAATGGGATTAATGGCAATGTGTTTTCACTGCAACAAATTTTTTAAAAACTTAAACAAGCACCACAGTTTGCCTTACCTCATATAAAGCAAGCTTTTGCCCTCTGCACCCTTAGGTGAGCTAAATATATAACTAGAGGGATAAAAAAAATACCTGTACTATACCTGTATAGCTATTACATTTCTCCTATTAACTAAATACTTAGAATATTTGTGAGTATTAACTCTGTGCAGCTGGTTATAGTGACACACTTGTGATCCCAGCACTTGGGAGGCTGAGGTAGGAGGACTCCTGTGGGTTGGAGGCCAGCCTGGGCTACAAAGTGAGTTCAAGGCCAGCCTCAACTGCACAGTGAAATCCTGTCTCAAAAAGACAAAAAAGAAAAAACAAAAAACCTAACTCTGTGCAAAGCACGGTGACAGGCTTTCACCTCTATTACCTGGAGTAGGCTGAGGTGTCCACATCCTAATCCCTGGAACATAGGAGTGCATGATCTTGCACAAGAGGAAAGATTTTGCAGGTGTAATTAAATTAAGGACCTCGAGATGGGGAGACTGTCCTGGATTACGGAGGTGGCTCAGACTCCAAGCAGGAGGTGTGAGGATGGAAGAAGAGGTCAGAGTGAACAAGCGAGGAGGACGGCAAGATGTTGGTCTTGAAGATGGAAGACTGGGACATGCACCACAGAATTCGGGTGGGCTCGGGAAGGTGGGAAAGGCCAGGAACAAACTCTCCCCTAGAAGCTCCCGAGGAAGCACAGTCCTGCCACTGCCTCATTGTAGCCCTTTTGAACTTCCTAACTATAAGATAATGAATTTGTGTAGGGGCCAGGCATGTAGCCCAGAGACACAATGTTTGTTTAGCATACGGGAGATCCTGGGTTTTATCTCCAGCACCACAAAAAAAAAAAAAAAAAAATCATTACGTTTTAAGAACTAAGTTAGTGGAAACATGAACAGCAGAACATGGAAAACTAATACTGCCGGGGGCTGGGAATTTAGCTCAGCGGCAAAGCGCCTGCCTGGCAAGCGCAAAGTCGTGAGTTCGGTTCCCGGTACCGGAGAAAAACCAAAACCAAAAAAAAAAAAAAAAAAATAAGGATTGAAAATTCAGTAAAAAAAAAAAAAAAAAAAAAAAAAAAAAAAAACCCGAAAACTAATACTGCCGTGTCACAGGCTAACCTGTATCCCCTCCAAATTTGCATGTTGAGGTCCTTAACCTACAGCAAGCTCACATGGGGACTGTACCGGAGATAGGGTCTTTAAAGAGGCATGTAAATTAAAATAAGGTCATATGCCTCTAACCCAGTATGACTGGTTTCCTTGTAAGAAAAGGAGACAGACTGGTACAGAATTAACATCATGTGAGGACACAGAAAAGATACAAGCCAAGGAGAGGCCTCAGAGGAAATCAAGTAGCCAATACCTTGATCTTGGACCTCCAGCCTCTAGAACTGTGAAATATTACATTTCTGTAAGCTCTGAGGGGACTTTGTTACGGCAAGCCAAGCAAACCAACCGCATATGTCATGTAATGTTCAGCACTAGAGCTCAGGGATGAGGAGGCTGAGGACTCCAGGCTACCAGGACAATCCTGAACCCCACAAGGTGCTGGGCTCCAAGCTGTTATTCTTGCCCTTATATAAATTGTTCCTTCAACCTGTGGTTACTGAATGCCACCTCCACGCCAGGCACTCAGGACACATTAGTAAATAAAGTGAGGCCTGTGTAGTGTTGGTGTATTAGGGGCAGAAAGCGTCACAAGAAGAGAAGACAATTACAAAGCATCTCCGTGAAGTAAAAGGAATCGCCCTGTGTGATACGTATACACTGCCCAAGAATGCAGTGTGCATGCAGCAGGGTGCTCACCACGGCACCAGTGGGCACCCTACAGAAACAGCCGGTGGCAAAGGGCCAGGACACTCCCTCTTCATACTCACTGTGCGATCTTCGCTGATATGACCGCACCTTGCAAACAGCCCCAAATACCAACTTTTGACAGAAATTCCTCACTGTAGTCTTTGAAGTCCGAACATGAAGAATTGTTGGTGGCACTGGGGAGGGAGGCGCCCAATTCTTTCCAGGTATGTAGCACATCTGGTTTTCTGAATATGTCATCAAGAGCTTGACACCAGCACTTCAAAGCAGCCCTAAGACAGAAACGGAGCATCTAGCAGAAGGTTTTCTGAGACCAGCCATGTCCGCTGGGCTTTTTGGCTACACAACCCTGAATGCGTGCATTTATTAGAAAACAATAAACAAAATATTCTGTGACGTTAAAGATGCGTTTTCTGCATTCAGGTAAAAGAAAAATCCTGAAACACTACAATCTTATCGTATCCCTGCTAAAAGCAAACTCTTTGGGCCTTCCCATTTGCTACAGGGTAACCTCCAAAAGGAGGTTTGTTTTGGGTTTTTTTTCCCAAAAGGAAAAGCAAGTATGCCAAGGAAACATTCAATTAACATCTTGGAGAATAATTCTATACCAGCCATAGCCCATAACAGTGTCTCCCAGGAGCATCAGGTGCATAAAATGAAACAATGCAGTACTGCTATAGAACTAAAAATTATGGGTGACAATGTTTTTTCCTAGCTATTACACATTTTTCAAGCAAAGAGAAAGATTGCCCTTATTCCACTGACTTCTGAAAAAAAAAAAAATCTACCTTTTCTTTCCTGCAAAGACGAGAAGATTTCCAAGCGCGTGCAAGGCCTGAACTTTAAGACTTCTTTGATTGCTGGCTTGGAGAACATCTGTATTTTTAATCAAGTAAAAGAACAAATGTCAGTTCCAAGGAAAATATTTCCTTTATATTTGCAAGAATATTTTAAAGTGCATTATTCCTTAACTGTGTAGATGGCAATATGAAAAGTGCAAGTTAATAGTGCTTTCAAATGTCAGATAATATATACACCCAGAGTAAGAGCAAACGATGCTCTATTTGAACACAGAGGATTGGGAGATTGGATCTAATACTCAGGAGACAAGAGGGCTGCGTGCAGAGAGCGGGAAGAAGCCGGGCAAGTTGAGATGGGAAAGATTACACACACGCACATGGGGACGAGGGGTGTGATTGGACACCGCTTTCCTAAGAGAGTGACCTGGGGACCAGAGAGGGAGGCAGTGCCCAGATTTCAAAAACCCCTGAATGTCAAGCGGAGAAATGAGAGGCCTACCCTGTAGCAAATGGGAAAACCCAAAGAGTTTGTGTTTAGCAGAGATGAGACAAGATCGTAACGTTTCGGATTTTCCTTTTACCTAAATTTATCTTTAATACCACAGAATATTTTGCACTTTTAATAGCACAGAATATTTTGTTTATGTTTTCTAATAAATGCACTCATTGAGGATTGTGTAGCCAGAAAACCCAATTGACATGGCAGAGGTTTCTCATGCTGGCAGGACTGTCTCCAAGAAGGCGCTACAGAAGCATCGCTGGGTGCTCTGTACTTGAAGCCCAGGGTTCTTGGATGGTCTCCAATGTGCAGAAGCCTCTGCCACAGTGAAGAAAAGGTGAGAACCTGTTTATACTTCTCCACTAGGCAACTTCACTTACACAGAACAGGAGATGTTTGTGCGTGATTTCTAAGTGTAGCCACAGGAGGACTTTACTTTGTTCAGAACTTTATCCAGATTTATTTACCACCATAGAAAAATCATGTCACCGAACTTAACAATGCTGACACTACTTAAGTCACCAGCAAAGACCACCTGTGCCAGCTCCCAGCTGGCGCTGTCATATTCATGGTGATTACAGGAAGAAACGTCTGACTACTCCATCCCTTCTAATGCCTGAGCATTTACGTGCTAACCCGCAGATTCTTTTATTATAAAGTGATTTTGTTTCATTTATCTTCTATTTTGTATTTAGAGCTACTTTTAAATGTGTGTAGGAAGAATATATTAAATATAAATTTTATTTCACAAAATAGAGGGAGAATTATAAAATATTTCTTGCAAAAAGGGGAACACTGGGTCTACAACATGGGTTGGGAATATGCTATTAAATTTGTAGAAAAGACAAATCAAGGAGAAAGACAAGGACAACGGAATCCAGCTGGCCAGAGCAAAGCACAAGTCAGTGTTTCCACCTTTGCAAGGGGATTCATAATTAAAGGGGGATTCACAATTAAAGAGGGATGCACAGGAGGGTAACCCAGAATTTCACAATGGTGACAGACTGCTAGGAAGGAAGGTAGTGTGAGAGGAAGCGGGAATCAACCAGTCACTGCTTCCAAAGGTCTGATGAACAGATTCCATGTTCAAGCTCTTTCAGGAGCTTGTAACCTTTCAGGACCAGGTGGGATTTCACGACTACAGAGGCTGATTAAAACTGAACGCACGATGAGTTAGCCTTACCGATAGTTTGGTGATAAGAAGAAATTACCAATCCGAGCTGCGAATGGGGAAGTTTGCTTTTCTCCACCGAACTAAAAACTCTGAAATGCTCCTGAGAAAGGTCAGGGGGTGTTGACATGTGCATTTCTTCTATCCCCAGACAAAATTCCACCTTCCCAGAAGAGAATTTTGCAGTGTTCACTCCTTTCTCTCCTAAATTTGTGGAAACAAAATTGAAAACTTAAAATGGAGAAAGAAGGGAAGTCGGTGGGAAGGGAAAAGGCAAAGGAAATGAAAAGGGAGAAGGAAGGAAGCGCTTGCTTAAAACTGGGATTTATTTGCAATTTTGAGGAACACTGCCTCCTTGAACTTGGTGTCCAGGATCATTGTGAAAGCCCCGAGAGTGTGTGGATGAGCTCTAAACTCATGTTGTTTCCTAAAGAGCTCTTCAAAGGGGCAGTGGCCAGAAAGCTAATGTGAAGGTAATGTTTTGCTTCTCCTGGGAACTGGCTGAACTTACACAGTTTGAGTTTGCCTTCTTTTAAAACAGCTTCCAGCAGTAAGATGTTAGTTTGCCTCTGAGGCAGAAACCTCAGGGACAGAAGCAACACATACATAGCCCTCACCTGAGACAGAAAAAAGTGGGAAAGAGCCTATGTCATTATAAGCTCAGAGAACACACAGGAAAAAGAAAAGTGAAAAAAATACCAGGGAAATAGTCAAAAGTAACAGAGAAAGAAGCTAATATAGATTTTAACTCTACAGCCGGAGCAGTAGAGATAACCTACTGAGAATAACTTGGTACCAAGTGAGATTCAGAGTCAGTAAAAAACAGTCTTAGGAATTGTACTTGCTTCATTAATTTATACCTTTCCCAATCGCCAATATACTGAATAACGAAAAGTAGATATGCATGACATAGAGTGCTAACTTAACATAATGTGAATCTGCAGATAATACAACCAAAACCTGTACACTTAAAGAGAGTGCTTTGTCCAGGATGAAAGGGGACATCAACAACAATGACAAATAAATAAAACTCTGGCAGTGGGTTGCTTTTTTTAAAAAAAGGCCAAATTTCTAAAAGATTAGTTCAGTGGAAATTAGTATCTTATTTAAGTCTAAATCTTTTTAAATTACTTTAAAACATAACTATATTAAGTTTAAATGTATTGTTTATTCTTACATTCTGATAAATATTCATAGTAAGGTACATAAATACATTACTGAGTTCAAAATTTTTAAATAAGTATACATAATTCAGGAATTTTTCCTTGCCTAAATTTGAGAATATACTTCCTTGAGTTTACAATTTAACCACTCAAAAGTCCTCCCCTGATTGAATTCACAAATTAATAGTTATTGAAAAGAGAAAATACACAGATTAATATAATCAACCATACTGAACACTGGTTTTCAGCTGAAGGAAGGCTCTAAAACCATAATCTGTGGTATTAGTAAGAGAACAGATTCATGGTTATTTTAAAATGCAGCCATTTCTTTAAAATTGTGCTTGGTAAAAGATTCTAGTTAAATAAGTATGACTCCATGCATCTACTAAGGAAAACAAAATACAAACAAAACCCCACACCTGCAAAGAAAACTGTAAAAACATCAATGTATGAAATTTAAAAATTAATGAGTATTATCGTCTTAGTTACTTTTCTTGTTGCTGAGACAAAATACCCAACACCTAAAGGGAAAAAGGTTTATCTGCCTCAAAGTTTGCAGAGGTTTCAGTCTATAATCGGCCGGCTCCAAGGCAGAGTGGTATGGCAGAGGAAAAATATCCATGGTGGGCAGAAGGTTGCAACGAGGGACCTTAACAGCATCTTTCTGCTCTCTTATTTTACCCAGGCTACTTAAGGTAGGTAGCACTCACACCTTTAATCCTAGTGCCCTTGAACCTAGCATTGCACCATGAATCAATTCCACCATCACACACTATAGATACAGCCACTTCTGAAAAAGCCCCACCTATGACTGTGTGAGGCTTTGGGGGGACATCTAAACACAAGCCATAACAATTATTGTCACATCTGCTGTTCTCAAGGAAGTTTTCTAGTTTGGCAGAAAACATAAAAGCAGGGGAGAAAGTGCCTTGGTTAGAATAAAGCAGCAAAGAGAGGTGATGAGATCCAGCAGAAGTGAGAAAGAGAGAGAGGTAGCCAGGGGTGGGCATGCCAATGAGAAGAGGAGATACACAGCACAGTGGCACCTATCTGCAGGATAGGGACCTCAAAATACAAAGACTGAGGGACAGAGGATGCGCATTTACCTTGTGTCTGTGCAAGCAACAACAAAAGCAACTTTTTGCTATGTCGGAATGATCTGTTATGGTATTTGGATTTTTCCAGGGTCTCTCTGAAGCATCTCAAAGTATCTGTCACATCCACGGGCACACAGACAAGCTGCTTGGCTCGGTTGTATTCTGGAAGGACAGGGACAGGAAACACGAGGGATGAGATGGTATTCTGAGCCCACTCCTAGCAAAACTGGTTCTAATTCAGAGAATTTCTTGATCCCAACCTAACGCTGCTCAATTCAAAGCCCCCAGATCTGCAGCAGGTGTTTCAACATTTTGATCATTTTTTTTCTTTTTGGTATATTTGAAAATTCTTTTAAAAACAAAAAACTTAGAAAAGTTTTGATTCTTATGAAATGCAAATAACTTTGGATCTTGCCAATTTTCCCTATAAAGCCTCTTACTTTTTCTTTGGCTGATCATAAAAAATGAAATAATCTCCTCTTCAGCAGCCTCTTCAAAGCAAAGGTGCCCTGGGAAAGAGACGAAAGGGGGAAGCAAAGACAGCTGGAGACCAGCAACTGCCTCTGGAGGACGGGAAAAGATAGGTTCCTAAGGCAGGAAGGCACAGGGGGAAGCTAGATGGGGCGGGGAGTGGTCTGCACCAACAGCCGTCCTGAAAGAGGAGATGGAGGGAGACGGTGGCTGTGGGGCCTCTGGAGACTGAGAGGCGGTTCTGGGAATTAGGCTGCACACACCATGAAGTGGGCCAGGAGAGTCAGGAGCGACAACGAGGCTTAATATAAGGTGGGCATGCAGAATGCGCCCTCTAAACACTGTCTTCCACAGTGTAGCAGCTTACTAGGCAACAATGCCTAGTAAGACACTGACAGGCACGACCTTTGTTCTGAGCATGCGCAGTGGTGCTGAAGAGGTGGGCACTCAGATCCCGGACTACTAAAGCTACACATGCAGGGAGTGCAGGTGACACGGCCAAGTGGGGGAAAGATGGAAGAGTGAAGAAGACTCTGTGAGAGGGAAGATACACCAGGGGGTCTTAGAGAAAAGGAAAAAAGAACAGGTTAGGAAGAAAGAGGCAAGGAGTTTTAGGCAGTTAGAAAAGCACAGGAATGGCTAAAGTTAATTGGGGACTTGTCAGGCACTGTTCTGAAGCATTTACGCTGACTGACTCAATCCTAACAACCATAAGAGGTAGAGGTATGTACCACTATTATCCTCATTTACAGAAGGAAAATAAGGAAGGGTCTGATTGCTTCCCGTGGGCACAGAACTAGCTTGCACCAGTCGAGGTACCATAGCAGAAAGAAGACCAGGAGGATGACGCGGCCGGTCCTGTGGACAGAGCAGCCCGCTTGGCCCCAGGGCGCTCCCTCCTGAAGTAGAATTATCCTTTGGGGTGGAAAACCAAGGAGGGGCTTGCGCAGGACTCTGACAGAAAGGGATGGGTATTTCAGGTCGTGTTAGCCAGCAGTCGTATCCACATCTGACTGCCCCAGAAAGAGGCTGGTGGTTTAGAGACCGCAAAGCCACCGCACAGACCCTGTGTGATTTAACTCAGCCGCGGTTGGTCGCGATGCACTCCAGGGAGGCGCATGGAGAACATTCCAACGTCAGTAGCAACAGGAATGGCTAATTGGCTTTGCGCTAAAGAAGAAATCAGGGCGTCACCTCTCCCCTGATCCTTTTCAGGGCTGGCAGCTTCCCACCCCACTTGAAAAAAAGAAGACAAGAGTGGAAGCAATCCAAGAAGATCATCTACCTCAGTCACCGAGCCTGCCCCTGTGCCCGTCTGCGCCCCCGGGCGTCACTCCGGCACTGGCATCTCCCGCTCCGCCCTGCTGAATCATCCCCAGTAGCGTATTTTCCTGCTATTTCTTCTATCATTAAAAATAAAAGAAGAAAACCATCTCTCTTGACTCCAGTTTCCCCTCAGGCTACCACCCCATTTCTCTGCTCCACTTTATACGAAAACCCTTCAAAAAAAAGTCGGCTTTCCTCGTTGTTCTCCATCCTCTCTTGAGCCCACTTAAATCAGACTTCTTCCTGTATGGCTTAAAATCTTCCTCCCCAAGTCCTTAAAGCAACCCTCAGAGTCCTCCAGGAACTGGCTCCCCAGGATCACTCTGCCCACTCCTCGCCATTCTCGCCCTCACTCCCTCCCACAGCAGACACGCTCCTGCTCCACAGTCTTGGCAGCCATGGCTCACAGTGTTCTAGAACATTCTTCCCTCCGATACCCTATGTCTTCCACTCAACTCCTGGAGGTTACTGCTTACCTGTTATCTTCTGAGTGAAGCCTTCCTTCTCTTACTTAAAACTAGAGCGTGCCCCCCTCAAAACTTATCGGTGAAGCACTCAATCCTCTGACATAGTGGTTTTATTTATTCATTGGCTGGCTCCTGCCCCCCAAAATAAAAAAATTCCACGATGGGAGAGATTTTGTCCATGTTGTCTCCAGCTATATCCCTGGCATCCATGATAGAACCTGCTATATAGTGTGTACTCAGCAAGTGTTTGTTAAATAAATGAATGGCTAGCATAAGTTTTATTAACAATCTCTTCCATAGGTCCATCTCAATGGCTACTCTGACAGTGCCCCTCTCCTCTAAATCCTGGCAAGGCCTACATGACCTGACACGAGACATGCCTCCTACTCCTCACACCTTACCCTCATGCACAGTGCCCTAAAGATTGTAGATTTCTCATGTTTTCCTTTTTTTTTTTTGCAAGAATTCATAAGCTTGGGTTTTTAGTCTACCTCTCCTTAGAGAGTGAGCTCAGGGATAGAGGATAAACAAGTATTTTAGCTTAGGCCATGATAAGCAATCACTATAGGCTGGATGGCTTATAAACAAGTTTATTTCTCACAGAGCTGGAGGGTGGAAGTCTTAGGTCAAGGTGCCAACATGGTCAGGTTCTAGAGAAGGCGTTCTCCCTTCCTGGCAGATTATTCCCTTCTCAGATGTCTTTTTCATATGGCTGAAATGGGCCTCAAAGGTGCCCTTTTTAAAGTGCCCCTTTTTTGGTATAAAGTGGAGCAGAGAAATGGGCTCCTGTTACACTTGTTAGGTTAAACTGAGGGGTGACCAAGACTACAAAGTCAGGCAAATTAAAGCAACAAGCAAAGTTTATTTGAGCCTAGGTGCAGGCTGGCCAAGGGCAACAAGACCATTGGCCCTAAGCATTGGATGGTGGAAGGCTTTATGGGGGTATTCAGATAGGGAAAAGGGTATGGCAGGGAGGAGTGGGAAATATTTAGCCTTGGTCTGGGGGAGCTGGAGTCTTGGTGACATCCATATCTTGCAGGTGCAGCTGCGAAAAGCAGTTGCTTGTTCATCTCCTTTTGCAAGCTCTGGCTCTCTGTTATCTCCGTGTCTCTGCAGCTGCAGTCAGCAGCCTTGCTTGGGGAGGTTTGCTTCTCTATCCAGGCGGGCCTGACCGCACTGATCTCATTCATGAGGGTTCCACGCTCATGTGCCAAGTTCTCTCCAAAGACCCTATGTCCTGACACCATCACATTGACAGTTAGAACCTCAACATAGGAATTTTGAGAAGCCACAGACATTTGGCCCATAGCAACTAGCAAAAGGGAGGGAGGAAAGCTGGAAATTCCCACACAATAATAATATCCAGGCTTTAGTTTTAAATAGCTATTAAAATTGAGATAATAATATTTACTTCGGGGGCTGTTATTTGAATGTGTGTGAAGTATCTGGCATATGCCTGCCATACAGTAGACAATAGGTGGAGGCTCCTGTTACAAGTCCTGTCATAGGGCTGGGGATGTAGCTCAGCGGTGCAGTGCCTGCCTGGCAAGTGCAAGGCCCTGAGTTCAATTCCTGGTACCAAAAAAGAAAATAGTAAAAAAAAAATTAAAAATTAAAAATTAAAAAAAGACCACAAGTACTAGTCATATATTTTTAAAATACAGGCATGTGCCATGTATATTTTGGTCAATGATAGACTACATGTATAATGGTGGTCTCATGAGGTTACATCACCTACTGACATTACAGTCATCTCAGTTTGTATGAGTGTGCTCTCACTCTGCACAATGACAAAATTGCCTAATAATGCATTGCTCAAATGTACCCTACTGTGGTTAAGCAACAGGAATGCCCAACAGTTGACCCCTCACAGATGCAAAGCACTGTGCCAAGCATGAAGAGCTAAAAATGAACAGAACAGACATGATACTTGCTCTCACGATGTTTACATTACAGAGTAAAAACCCAAAAAATGATCTAGGCATGGTAATGCATGCCTGGGATCCCAGCACTCTGGGAGACTGAGGCCGAAGGATCTCAAGCCACAGCCCAGCCTGAGCAATTTAGAAAGACCTTGTCTCAAAATAAAAAGTAAGTCAAGGTCTGGGGATTGCAGCTCAGTACAAAGGCCCTGGCTTCAACCCAAGTACCATCTAGAAGGAGGAGGGGAGAGAGGGAGGGCAGGGGAAGAGAGAGGAAGAGGGGAGAAAAACTCAACAAATGCTATTTAAATGAACATAGAATAAAATCATCATCAAATATCTGGCAATAAATAATTGTACCTTGTGTTTTTCCTATATTACATTTCTCTTTTTCCTTTTTTCAAGTCTTAGCACAACTTTTCCCTTATAGTCTAATTAGGGTTCTGCCCATAGTTTGAGGTTGTCTACATCCAATAAATGATGCAAAGCAACAAGCAAGTATCATTAGCTTTGGTGCCCTTATTCTTATCCCAGGGGACTCCTCCGAACATTTCCATAGATGATTATTCAAGAAGCTATTCCAAAGGCACTAAGAGTACCTCAATAGTCTGAAGTAGGTAAGCGGGCAGGGTGGGGGATTATGTTTTATTGAACCAGTGTAGAAATGAAAACTGAAAAGGTAATGACTCCTGAGAGATCCACCAAGGAAGGAACCCGCGGAGTGATTTGAAATGTGGGGCTGCTTTCTACACAATTGTTCAGATCAATCCAAATGCCCAGACACTAATAAAACACACCTGCATGGGGGTGAAAATTCCAACACATCTGAGAACTAGATAACCCTACCAGAGAATTTAAATACAAGTAAGGTCAAAAGTCAAGAAAGTGATCCCAGGTAGAATGGAAAAACAGTTCTAACAAAGGGCATAGCCAGGGTTATCTCTCCTACCGAGCTTAACAAGCAAGCAAGTTCCTCATCCACACAAGAATAATCTATAAAATGAGGTATGCTCACTTTTCCAAAACCTACTGAGACTATACCAAATTACATATGCATTATTAAATAGTTGAAAGGAGAATAGGATGCTGTTAAATAATGAGAAAACCAAATGTTCCTAGGCACTGGGGCATTACAATATCTGTTGTGAAGAATTGAAAGTATCAAGCATTACCACCAGATGCTCTTATGCCAAAAGAAAATCTACGAGGTGCTAAAGAGGCAATCTCATCCAGAAGCCATCATGAGTACACTCAGTCTTACAAAAGAACCACAAACACATCATGGTGACATACATAAGACCCAACACACTTATAAACATGTTAATGGCCTCAGTTCAGGATACTGAAAAAATTCAGCATCTTCAAAATTTGCCAAATAAACCCAAAAGCCTAGGCCAAAGATGCTCCTCATTGCAGAGATCCTAGGGGCTAATAAAGAGCTGTAAATTAGAAGCCGAGATTTTAACAGTTCAGTATAAAACCTATAATTAGATGCAAGAACACCTAAAAATCACCAAACCATCACAGTAAGTCAGAGTAAGTGTCTGCCTCCTATGACCACTGAAATACAGCAAATTATTTCTCGAGTGCTGTGAATTTAGAGAAGATTCTAACTTGGAAGGGAACCATGGAGTATAGGCTGGGTAGCCCAGTGGAACACTCATGTGGGGAGACATTAGACAGACCAAGGTCTGAATCACAGTCCTACTACTTGCAAGTAATGCTTAATTTCCTCATCTGTAATATGAATATAATAATGCTACCACCTAAAACTAAAAATTAACGAATCTAAATATAGTTTCAGCCTAATATTGCTAGTGTCATTACAATATTTTCCAAATTTTCCTCTTCGGTATTACTGCTCTAGTCGTAGCTCAAACTGGCTATCTTTCCACCAACAGTTGAGACTCAACCAAAGGCTCACTCTATATTGATAGCGCCTCCCCTCTGCCTCTCTGTCCTGCTTCCCCATCCTGCCTTTCCAGGTGTAGCCTTTCCAAGAGGCAAGCAAAGTGTTTTTCTGACAGATGCTGCTATCATCAGTAAACACCTCCAGCGACCCAGGGCTAGAGCTTTGCTAGGTACCCACGTCCCCTCGTCTTATGTTAGTCATCCTTTTGACAACAAATTTTTAACACATTTTCTCACCTGTGTAGCAACTCTTTTTACTCAGTATCCTAAAACTAAGAAACCCCTGAGGCTTCCAGGCAGGATCAAAGTAAAAGGGAGAACACACCCCGGAAGATTCACATTCTTTGACCGGAACTAGTCACACGGCATGGCCGCGCGAAGGTGGTTCTGCTGGTGTTTACTGACGAGGGGCTCATTTGATTTCCCACTAGCAGTGAAACTGCAGAGTCATGTTCACTGACTGCCTCAACTGAACACTGTTCTCCAGCCCTCCTTCCTCACTGTTTCCCTTGGTGCCCGCTCGTCTCTTTCACACTCCTCTTGAAGTCCCTCACCCTAGCACCCTTGGCTGTGTTCCCAGGGCCCCGTTCCCTTAAGAAATCCTCCCACACCCGGTGAGAACACCTTCATCCTCTACCTCCACCTACCAGCTTCCAGCTCGGGGTGAGCCTTCCTTTCTGCTTCCTGTCTTCCTTCCTGTCTTCCTTCCTGTCTTCCTTCCTTCCTTCCTTCCTTCCTTCCTTCCTTCCTTCCTTCCTTCCTTCCTTCCTTTAGGCCTTAGCAGGAGGGTTCTACCCTTCTATGTGAAGCTAATTGCCCTGTGCCTCAGCCTCTGTCTTTTCTCTCCTCGAGGTCCTTCCTCTGTCAAAAATCCCCCTCTCCTATCTCTGAGCTCTCCCTCTCTACTGGATCTTCCATTTAATATACAGATATGCTCCTTTCCTTCCATTAAAAATCACCCAACAAAGCAAAGGACCTTCCAGGACTTCGCCCAGGACCCCTGAGCTCCCATTTCCTTCTGGCTTCTGCAGCTCTCCCTCTTTCTTCTCACTGCTAAGCCTCCTGCAAGGCAATTCCCTACTCAGTGAATCCCTGCAGGTCCACCTCAGTACCCCCACTCTTCTCCTGGTTATTCCCAAGGTCACAAAGCCATTCATTCAGCAAACAGACGCTAAATTCCTGCTATGCAGCAGACACTGAGGATTATACTGGTGAGCAAAGCAATGGTCCTTTGCACTCATCAAGCTTGCACTGTATCAGGGGAAACAGATTAGTAATCAACAAATACAAAAAATGGTGACTTCTACAGATGATAAACGCTTCAGAGTAAAAATGTGCAGGACAGAGGCAAAGAGAAAGCTTGGAGGAAGCAGTTTTTACAAGAATGGAGGCAGTGACAGCACCCGCCCATCTGACAAATGCCTGTCCTCATCGTACGACCTCTCTGACTGACTGTTTCTCTTCCTGAAAGCTCTCTCTTGCCTTGGCCTTGCATGTCTCACTCTTCATCTACTGCGCCTCCTCTCAGGCTGCGTCCCCACCTCTTTCACATTCTGCTCTTCCTCCGTTTGGTCCCATGCCAGCTGGGAAGGCGTGTGCCTCTTCATCCCCAGAACAGAGTCAGGGGAGCACACCTTCCTGCCCCTTTGAAGGTAGGCATGGCCCTAAAACTTTGGGCAATGAGACATCAGCAGACGTGGTGCGCGTCACTTTCTAGTAGTAGCTTTATGAGCCAGTGCGTGATTTCCTACCTCTTTATCTCACTGGAAAAATGGAAACAATAAACCTACCTCATTAGGTTAAAAGCTAATATTCACAAGGCATTTGTAAGAGTGCCTGGTGTGCAGTTCTTTCACTGGAGTTGTCATTGTAATTAAATAAGAGAACACACACCCTGGCCTTAGCAGAACACAGACACATGCAAGCACATGCATGGTCTCACAAGGCAATGCCCAGGGCCCTTCTGGATGAGTCCTTCAGTAGAGCTCGCCCAGAGGCAGCACTGGCATTCTGCTCTGCCTTGGCAACAGCCGTGGGAGCCATGCCAAGGTGGACATTCCATCCCAATGAAGAGCAGTGATGCTCAACATCACTGAACATGGTAGCAAGAGCAAGACAGTCTTTCCCGTGTGTTGTAAGACCTGGGGCTTATCTGTTACTGCTCTATAGCCCTAGCCTGCTTTGACTGGTACAATTTCCAAAATGTTGGAGCTATTCAGGAGGTTACCCTGACGTCCATACTGCACATAATCCCCGGGTGACCTCAGCCAAGTCTCTGACTTCAACCACCACCAACATACGATGACAAAGGTACAGTCCTCCAACCAAGCTCTCTCCTGAGGGCTCCTGGGTACGCCCAAGCATGTACAGATAGACCTACTCAGTTATCATTCAAGCAAACTCTGTCGCTGAACCTCTTTCTTCTGACCTCTAAGACACCTTCTCATCTAACACCTGCCCAAAGGTCCAACCTCAGCTTTTTGCCTCTTTGTCATCTTTGAAAATCAGGTGCCAGGTGTTATTACTGTTTATAGCAACAGTAATAATAATGTTACAGACTTCAGCATTGCACGTTATAATCTCTGATGTACTCACTGAACTCTTTCAATAGACTGTAAAGTGGATCTGTAGTCCCATTCATCTTTGTCGGCTCAGTACCTAGTATGGCACTGAAAACAGTAGTAGCTGTTCAGTAAATGTTTGCTCAACAGGTGATAGGCTGGTTGACGACCTCAACAAGTGAATGAGTGGATGAAATGAATTATTACGTATATATATACATGCACACAAAAAAACCAATAGACAAGTGAAAGACTTCTAACAGTTCAAAGAGAAGACTTACATTTTCTTCCTAAACCAGAAAAATGTAATACAGAATGGGCATTATTTATATTTTCATTTTATTCTATTGCCTCATTTCTTCAAGTTGCACTGCCAAAGTGTCCTGGAAGGGTTTATCCACTAAAAAGCAAACAGGTCGTGTGTCTTGGTTACTTTTCTCTCGTTGCTGAGACAAAATACCCAATGCCCAAAATTAAGGAAGGAAAGGTTTATTTAGCTTACAGTTTGTGGAGGTTTCAGTCCATACTTGGCTGGCTCCGAGGCAGAAGGTAGCAAAGCAACAAGAGCAAAGGGGGGAATGGCAGCCGAACAACAAAGCAGCCAGAGCAAACAGGAGGAATGGCGGCAAGCAGCTTCTTTCCCTGCCTTACATTGTAAACAGGCTACCCCCACCTAAGGGGCATGTAGCTCTCACATAATTTCCATGCCCTCCTCTTCCACAGGCTCAGGATGTATACAAAGTAAGCACCCTGGCTTCCTGCTGAGTCACTTAGCCAAACCCCTAGACTCCCCAAGTTGACACAATGTTTCAACCATAACATCGTGACATTCCCAAATCATCCCCTGCATACTATTTACCAGGCCACCATGTTAAGGGGGAGAAAGCCCGCAGAGCGACCTCAGGATACTGATTATGGAAACCGCATCCTTTATGGGAGTCAAGACCGAACAAAGGAAACAGCAAGAGTTCAAATAGCCAGGAGTCCCCAGGTGAGATAAAACAGGAGAAATGTGCAAAACAGACTTTTCCATCTTTACTTTTTCCCCTCAATTTGCCTGTTTCTTTTCTTTCATTTCCCTTCTTTAACTTACAGCTTAAACTTCTGAAAATGTGTTTTAATCCCCCATAACTGACATGCATAGCAACAGAAGGTGGTAAATATCAAATGGATTATTTTCAAGTAAACCTGCAAAAGAGCTCTTGCAAATATGTTAGTCGTGGAAGATTTGGCACGCAGAACATAATGGGGAAGTTTCATGTAAAGAAAATTCATGTTCAGTCTAAAATTGATTCCGACCTGAATGGATGAGCATTTTTAGCAAATCTGTAGTGCCTCCTGCCTCCATTACTACATTGGGCAGAGAATCAATCTTCAGCTGCTTCCCCATGAAATTTCGGCAGGTGATCTTAAGGAAAAGATGAAAAAAAATATTATTTAGTCAGTTATTTAGAGTTAAAAGTTTGACTTACTTAAAATATTTATCTCATTTTTTTATGTCAAGATGAAGTGATACAAAACAATGCCACAAATAAAAGCTGACAGAAAGCATTCAATTATGAGAACTTTGGGGGGAAAAAGTGGCTATGTAATTTTTCATATTCCTGTGTATAGCACAGCTGGAAGAGCACTGGGCAAATTATGCAGAGCAATCAGAATATGATTTCCTAGTATTCCATAAATTCGGGAGTCTAAATATATCTTCCATTATGTAAGTTGAAACATATTTAAAATATCGGCTGCTCCTGCAATGGCAGGTTTTTCCAGCCTACTCATAATTAAGGCCATTTTAACTTCCCAGATAAATTTTCTCAGAACTAATTTCCTCTGCAACATTTATTTTCTAATAGATATCTGAGCCCTCAAGTTGTAAAATACCTAAAAACAGAAAATTTTTGGACAGAAGCAAATTCTTTGAAAGAATACGAGACTCTTCTTTCCATTTCTCCAATCCTATTCCTTGATTTAACTTATCATTCAAAATATAGCCCTCTTTCTCAAGCAAATAATTATTTTCCTTTCCTTTCCTTTTCCTCTCATTATTATATCTCATAATGAGATATAAACAGACTAATAAAATCTAAATTGCTTCCCACAGTCTAATAAAGCTCTAGCTGACTTAGTCCTTCCTACCTCCCCAACTTATTAAACAAATCTTTGTTGAGTATCTATTATGTGCCAAATACTGAAGGGATAATACAACAGAGAAAAAATAGCAAGCATTCCCACTTTTTATGGCATTCATTCTAATAGCAGAAGGAAAATAAAGTAGAGAAGTACATTTATAGTATATGCTATAGTTTGTGTCTGGATGTCCCCGCAAAACTTCATGCAGTAATGGGGCGGGCTTTTAGAATTTATGATTGATCCATAGTCCAACGTTGGAATTATGGGTGTGACTGCTACACCTGCCCAGGGGCGGGTAGTTTGCATACAATGTAAAGGAGGGAAAGAGGCTTGCTCTCCGCTGCACTTCCTTTTTGCTCTTGCTACTCTTGCTGTTTTCCACCACCATAAACTGTTGCTCTCTGCCATGTGCCCTCCTGTCTTGGAGCCAGCTGAGTATGGACTGAAACCTCCACAGACTGTGAGTGAAATAAACCTTTCCTTCCTTATTTTGGGTGTTGGGTATTTTGTCTCAGCAACAAGAGAAAAATAACAAACACAGTATATTAAAGAATTGTAATTGCTGTAGCAGCAAATAGTGCAAAGGTGCATATGACTTTAAACAGGAGGGTGAGGAAAGGCCTCAGTATGAAAGGCAACATACGGCACAAATTGGGAATCTGAATAAGGTAGAGGAAAACCCGTGTGTCCTGGGGGGTGGGGGGCATTCCAAACAGGGGCAACAGCAAAAGCAAAGGCCTTGGGTCAGGTGCATCTTAAAGAACAGTGAAGTTAAACAGTGCAGTTGAAACTGGGGAGTCACAGGATGTGAGTCGCTGGAGACCACAG